GGGTAACCCTGGTGATGGGGAACCCTTTAGCTAAGTCATACTACAGTGTTAGAGGGCTCCTGCAATATCATTTCTGTATTGAAATTCAATCATCAAAAAGTAAAAAGCAGTAGAAGTATGGTAGCCCAATAATAGTATGCACGTCTCTAAATCCTTTAACATTTTACTTAATTAGGAAGCCATATAATTAAAACATTTCTTCCCAGACGATCTAAATCCAAAATCCTGGCTTCTTTTTATGACAAAATGTTCCGGCACCTGCAGTGACTTCTGCTGAGAATCTGTGGCGAATAAATGGATACCACACAAAAAAAAATCTGACTTACTCGAGCATTAAAGGATGAGCAGCTTTGAAAAAAAAACCCTCAAGTTTAATAATCTATCTGTCAAGGCGTTAAATAAGAGTTGAAGCTGTTTGTTTAACGCGCTCTGTAAATCGTCCTTTCAAAGCTGTATCGCATCGCGTTTTTCTTTTTTAAACCCGAGTGTGGTCGTTTTGTCCAGAGACTGTGCCCCTTATACAGAAAAAAACAAACACTGTAAAGGAATGCGTGTAAAATGAATGTAGTCCTCTCGTGCCTTGAGATGCGTTACAGTGCTGAGCTCAACAGCCACGAAAGCGCATTCCTGCTGCACACTTGTTATCATAAGTGGTTCAAGGCCAAATGTGTGAAGGTAAAAGTTCAGCCCTGCAATTTCTTGCTCACGCCACTCCTGATGGGGTTTTTTTTTTCATCTTGAGAGATGTGAGAGTACCCACAATTTACCCAACCACGTGGGACCTGGCGATCGACTCCGGTGTACCAATTTTTTTACTGTTAAACTATGCACTCTTTTTTTAATTTTATTTTACCAGGTAAGGCCCACTGAGTGACGTAGCTCTTTTTTCAGAAGCGACCTGGCCACAAATGATAGCTCAACGAAATGGCTCATCACGTGGGAATGTGCAGCAGGCAAATACTCGAAACGCCGTGATGTCGATCCTAAATGTGGGGGGAAAAAAACCACGGGGTGAGAGATGCATGCAAGCTCCAAATATACAGCAGGCGTCAGGGTCGGGATCGAACCCCATGACCTCCTGTACACCAGGCGAGGTAGTTAACATCTCCTAGCCACCGTGGCGCGCCCTGTTGGGGCGACAGAGGCCGGGAGTTGGTGGTGTGGTGGTGGCGGTGGGCGTTGAAGATGGTCAAGAAACTTGCCCACTGATTAAACTGCCGAGAATGAACCGTCGACCTCGGGATTTAAATGCCAGTGGGGTCAAGAACCGTGTACACCCACGACAGAATTGCCCCCCATCCCTCTACACCAATTAACGCACATACAATGTGTAACCCGGGCCCAATGCCCGCAGCGGAACAACAGCCGTTGATGGCAACGCGCAATGTTTTTTAGTTACACATTTCAGACTTAGTCTGGCAGCTGTGCATGCCAAGCGATGGCTTGCGAATGCTTCACCACCATTGTCATTCGCAAACAAAACTTGAAAAATTCCTTGCGACCGAACAACATGTCATGAACATTTTCCCAGTGGTCGTTATTTATAGCAAAAGGACCATTGCATGAACAGTTATATTACTGCGCTTATCAATGAAAAGTCAGTGTTCGGTCAACGTCCACGGTGGTGAAAGGAATATTTCAGCATGTTTTCAATGATCCTCGGATTGTGCCAAGCCTTGCGAGGATGCCAAGTGTATACCCGCTTCACCAAGGCTCATCCAGAGTACAGTGCGGCTCTTGAGTATAAAGTGGCGACTTTAATAGGAACCTCAACGCAAGGCCGTAGCCATGGAGTCAGAAAAAAAATCTAAAATTGAAAGCGAATTTCCTGCTTAAAATATTTTAAAAAATCACTAACAATGTCTCATAGTGTCATTACTGTTTTTCTTTTTTTTACCTTTTCTTGTTTCATTGTATGTAATGGTAGAGATTAGATAAAGTACAACCATAACCACAATATAAACAGAAATCTCTTTTATAGCAATATATTGGGGGGGGGACATTTTGAGCATATTTGAATATTGGGGGGGGGGGATGTGACCCCCCCCAATATATATTATAATTACGGCCTTGCCACAACGCCTCTGCTTGCACGAGGCCGATGTCCGAGCCACGTGTGCAAGAGGACTGTGCGCTTACAACCAGCTGCAGCAGATTGTAAGCTGCTCCCACGGTCGCAGTTGAACCTTTTGGGCCAAATGCCACGGGCTTCGTCGGCAACGTGAGACAGTGACGCGGTACCGGCGCTGGCGCGTTCGCCCCTTTTGGCAGAGGTTCACGTTTCGAATCGAGCGACCGCCCCGATAAATACCGCTGGTGTATTAGCTGTCAAAGACATGCACCGTCCGTTTCCAACGTTAAAGATCCCGTGACGTCGCTTCGCAAGAGTAGGCCGTTGTATGCCAGCGTCATGATAATTTGAAAAATTACCCGCAATTTCATCAGCTGGGATTATGCACGACAATCATTTAACCGTCCTGAAAGAGAGCCATGCAACTCAGGAAATAAAACAATTCAGCCCAACTCATGGAAAACTTTGAGCTGTGTCTATCTCCCAACTAGTTCTATTGGCCTCTGCTCGTGTAATTCCCAGTTCTAGGCTATCGTCTTTGATAGCTCTCTGATGTTGTCAAGTTGTACCGCTTGTTGCTCCCGGGAAGCTTCTTTAAGAACCAGAAAATACATCGGAGAGCTATGCAGCACACCTGCAAAAGCATACGTCGTAATAGTAGTATTCTTATGACGTTGAACCATCTTCGACTAAACTTCACTTTTTATTTTGCCAGGTAATGCCCACTGAGCTAGACAGCTCTTTTTCAGAAACGACTTGGCCACAAATTATAGCTCGCCGAAGTGACGTATCGTGTGGAAATGTACACCAGCCAAATACTCTAAACGCGTGATGTTCATTCTAAATGTGAAGGGGGAAACCGGAGGACCCAGAGAAAAATCCACGTGACCACGGAGATAACACGACAACTCCAAATAGATAGGCGTCAGCGTCGGGCTCGAACTCACGGCCTCCTGCATAGCAGGGGGGAAGGTATTTTCGTTAACATCTCGCCACCTCGTATATCCCTTAAGACCTTGGCTGGAGTAAGTTGCTTTTAAACCCAGCGTCTATGATGTGTTTTTTCTCCCCTTCTACATCGGGTCTGGCAGAGCAGACAGCGCAGGCACTTGCTAGACTGGCTTTCTGGGCTGCAACCCACCTAGCTCACAGAATCCTGAACACGGCACCCTGGCAAGTGCCTTGGCGGTGTCACAAACACACGTCACATCAGCCCGTCAGGCGCAGGGTTACTAGTTGTATTTTAGCCGAAAGCATAAATTCCACTACAGTATATATAAAATAATCTGCTATGAATGGAGCCCTGTTTATGCCAACTCGCTTGCAAATCCTCCCGAGGGTTAACGCTGGGTTTCTTGGTCAACACCTGTGCAAATAAAAGCCACAGTTCTTTGCCAACTGCCACGCTGTTTGGTCGAGATATTTTTTTAAACTTGCTTTTTGGTCGACGTGTATGTGTGTGTGTGGGCCAGTCCCTGTGTGTACCAGTTCAGTTGTGCGTGTGAATGTGTACAGGTGTGAAAGCATGCAAACGGTTTAACATCTGGAAAGTAATATATTACTTAACGACTTTGTAAAAAGGTGAAATTTGATCGCAATGCTATGATTAACACAGCAGACTCACTCGGCATTCTGCTAGGCTAAGCAAACTTTTATTTATGTTTCTGGTATAAAAAAACTGTGTTCACAACCAAGAGCTACAAATATAGAAAAGTGTAATGTGTGACGATTACCGTAAAGTTTGATAAAATTATAATACATTTAAAATTACATAGGGCTACCAAATCATCTTCACTATAGTGTTGTCAACTGAAAAAAACTAAAACTGCAATATACAAATGTGAGTTGTATATTTCAGTGGTTTCAATTATTGTAGGCTTCAGCAGTAATCATTGTTAAAACTTATAATACAAACTATACATATACCAGCACAAAGTCACCATACAATCATGCAAAACAGAGTAGATTATGCTTAACTGCATGATTCTGAAGTTGTTCTTTTAAAGGCGGGATAATAACTTGATTAACAAACTAAAGGTATTCACCCGGGCAGTGTTCCATTATGCAAAAAGCACCCTCATCTGAACAAAATATATACCTTAAACCTAGCATAAAAAAACCCTTATTTATACAGCAAACAAATCATAACACATATCATAGACGACACAATTACATTTCCAGTCAAATAAAACCATATTCTTACTGTAGGACTCCACACAAATACTAATGTGCTCTACATTTGCAGTTATCATATCTATCATTTATCTTTGCATGTCGACATTTCAAAATATGCAAATCTATATATCTAAAAAGTTTTTCTGTGCAAATTTATAAGTGGTCACAACCTTGAACAAAGTTGTGTTCAATTTCACACCCTACTCTCCCGTTCTTCCAAATCATCATTTACAAAAATAAAATATAAATGTACAGTCCTTTTATCCCTCACTCTGTGTGGCACTTACGATGAAATTGTGAATAAATGCCGTGGTAAGCAAACGAGAGTAAATATAAATAATTGTGTATTTTAACCAATTTCAAATGTGTACAGAATTACATTTGCTTTGAAAAGTTACAAATCACAGCTATGTGCCTTGTAAATTAATAAATTATTGCAAATGTGATATTAATGATATACTGCAGAAATGCTTACCCATTTAGCCATGAGTTGCTATCTGTCGAGAAGGGCATGACCATGTCCTTCGTGTAGGATGTGGATATTTCCACAGAAATCCCATTCATCAGTGATGTGTCAACATAATAAAACGATTGGGCAAATGTACGGTTCGTGCTGCTCACAGAGGGTAGTGACTTTTCTGCCGCCGCCTCTACTGCACTCACTGTGTCCTGGTGTGACATATTGGTATGGGTGATAGTGCATTGTACTGCAGCTTAGAAATAATAACGTTGCCGCTGTCACTGCTGCTGCTGCTACTACTAATGATACTGGTGCCGCTGTTGATAGTTTGATACTACTGCGGATGCACACACAAGTGTCCCTGAGTGTCAAACAGTGGTGTGAGTTGATAGAGAGTTGTGCAGTGTAACCGCTGCAGGCCTCTCGGCAAAGTCCCCCAAGTATTCCACGTTTTCTGCGGTGCTGAGCATCACGCCGCCATTCTGCCTGGGCCTGCTTTTGGCCGGCTGCATGTTCAAGTACTCCAGGTTGCTCTCACTCGTCGCTCCGGAGCCGGGCGCTGGCCGCTCGTCACATATCAACGGGCAGTCGGGTTCTCCTGCCGACGATGTCTTGTCCTGCTCCATGTATTCTGGGTTTTCCATTGGGCTGGGAAAGTCGTTGACGTAGATCTGCTGATCGCCTCGGGGGCCGTGCGCGACGGCCGACGGGCTGACCAGGTATTCCGGGTTCTCCAGCATCAATGAGGGGTCACCTGCGATCGGGTTCACGTATGTCGGTAAAGGGATGGCATGGAAAAACTTAGGTCAGAATGAGCCTTTAAAATGTTGCATCAGTCGGAAAACTATTTTTTGCATGTTTTTATCTTGGATGACTACGTTGTTATCATTATCAATGTGTTAGATTTAAATGACAGCCTATTGAGACAAGTCTCTCTTTTGCAAAGATAACCTGGGGAGAAATACAAGGGGAATTATATTAAATACATTGTGACGAAATATATTGCAGCGCTGGATCATGAGCGATAGCGATGGCTTTGGGAGACATTCATAAATCAACGGATTGTATCATGGCCGATGATGATTAGGATGCCTAAAATCACCCAGAATGCATTCGATCTTTTCAGATCTCGGAAACTTAACGGGGTTGGGTCTGGATAGTGTCTAGATGGGTGACCACTATGCACAGCAGTTTGTCTTCAACTGCTGCAGGGCCACGTCTAGATGGGTGACCACTATGCACAGCAGTTTGTCTCCAACTGCTGCAGGGCCACAAGTTGGGCAGCAGAGAGCAATGCAGCAACATCCATTATTGTACTGTGCTTTTGTGCTCAATATCCACTCTCCCCACCTTCGTCGTAGCACACTAATCAACGTGGCGAAGTATGGTCACGACCTGCACTGTGTGGCTTTGGGAGACATTCATAAATCAACGGATTGTATCATGGCCGATGATGATTAGGATGCCTAAAATCACCCAGAATGCATTCGATCTTTTCAGATCTCGGAAACTTAACGGGGTTGGGTCTGGATAGTGTCTAGATGGGTGACCACTATGCACAGCAGTTTGTCTTCAACTGCTGCAGGGCCACGTCTAGATGGGTGACCACTATGCACAGCAGTTTGTCTCCAACTGCTGCAGGGCCACAAGTTGGGCAGCAGAGAGCAATGCAGCAACATCCATTATTGTACTGTGCTTTTGTGCTCAATATCCACTCTCCCCACCTTCGTCGTAGCACACTAATCAACGTGGCGAAGTATGGTCACGACCTGCACTGTGTGGGGAGGCTCTTTATTCAGCAATGTATTGACAACAAGGGCTGTACGTGCATAAAATTACGAGACAGAGTTCAATACACGCGTGTAAGATTAAATATAACTTTACTTAAAATCAAGGTTCTAGGACCCATATCTTAAAGAGGAGGTCCTTACCTGTAGCACCTAGCAGTTCAGCAGCATTGATTCAAGCAATCCTGACTGTTGATGATACACTATATGTCAGTCCACAGTTGGCGTCTACTGAATAAATACTGCTGGAATTATGCATTACCAGAAGGCCATGGGGGCCGATGGATTGTGTAACAAAAACATTTCCATCATATTTTTTTGCGTGGAGACACAGGTATATGTTAAAATGAGGAATATAGTCTGCTTATCCGTTTTGCAAAAATGAAGAATGATAAAACAATATAATGGCGTTGCGCCCGAGAATACATCCACCACAGAGACTGATCAATGAAATCTGCTCATGTACTTGGAAGGAGGGGGGAGCTTCATCCAGTAGTGGATGGTTGGTGATGATAATAATGATCAAATCACCTGTAATGGATCTGATCTCATCAGATCTCAAAAGCCAGGCAGGGTTGACCCTGGATATTGTATCGAGCAGCGGGGGATTGATCATGGCTGATGATGATGAATTCCAAGTGTGTGTGAATATAAACGTGGCACGCACCGGATTGGAGCCAAACGGGGTCCGGCGGGACATCCGACTCTTCTTCCGTCGAGGGCTGTGCGCCGGGCGACTTTAGGTAGCGCAGGCTGTTAACCCTGGGGACAATTCCGCACTTGGTGGTGGTGGTGGCGGTGGCGGCGGCGGCGGCCGCGGCGGCGGCGGCACCGTCCATGCCCTTGGCCCCCTGCTCGACCCCGTCGTGGCGCACGCTGCGGCCGAGCCGGGGGTGCGGGGTCACGGGGACACGGGCTCCGTGGCCCCCATCCCGCACGGGGCCCTCGAAGGAGGCGGCCCGCCCGTGAGCCCGGCCGGAGGTGCCACGTGACGACGAGCGTCTGTCCGCGAGCAGGGGCACTTGCTGCACGCACGCACGCACGCACGCGACCACGCTCCGTGTTTAGCCCGCGCTGTTGGCTCGCGTACGTCACCATCAGTTGTGTGAGGCTGACATACAAGTACATGTCATTCCACTGTTGGATGAGGGCCTCCCTGTGCAATGTAGGCCGAGGAGGTTATTTGATTATGCTTCACCATGTGGGTTGGTGAGGGCAGGCAGCATATGCGTGAAAGTATGGATGTACAGTACAACAACACAACAATGCTGTCCACCAAGTGAGATGGTTGAAAGTTATCTGCCTGTCACCTTGCACAATAAAAATACTCAAGTTGGTCATTATTCCCGCAGAGGCCAGGGGTCGGCAACCTGGGGCTCTGGAGCCGCGTGCGGCTATTTAAGGGCTGCTTCGTGACGTAATTTATTAAGCAGCCACCGTCTCATAGTGACATGGCATTGCCGATTTTGAAATGTTGATTTTTTTTCTTTTACCGAATCCGACCCCTGGCCCAGGCCAACATCTCTGGCATGGTCCTTTGATTGATGTGCATGTCCAAAAGAATAAGGGCCGTTACATTACATAGAAGCCCTGTCAAAGGGTTTTTCTAGCGCTGTTAGGTGGAACTCAGAAACAGGGTTCACGGTGTACTTCTTGTGCATCACTCACAGGCTTTTCGCAACATCGTCATCACACTTTGCATCACCACTGTCGCCATTAGCAATATGGAGCCACAGCTTCCTGCCCTCCTCTCTATTCTCTGGCTTATATAGTCCCCCTTTATATAGCAGGAGCTGAGCCAATTACCCAGGCACACCTTGGGTAACGAATGCCCTCTCCCCCAGCCCAAATTTGCACAGTCAATCTGCCACAAGGCCGTGGGCTTAACAAAAGCAGACGCCTCTTATAAGGCAGTGTTCATGATGAATGTGGTGAGATTTTTTTGTATTTCTACTGCCAACACAGTCACTTGGTTTTTTTTGTCTGTCATCCGGTCATCACTATAACACGTTACCTCTCATTACAATTGTGAACGTCGCATCGTTTGCGTGACATTGGATTTCCAGGGAAAAAAATATGTATTTTTCCCTCGGTTTCCTGGACTTTAACGTAAATTACGTTGTACTTCAAATATGCTGCAGATAATGTCATTTGCATGTGCATTAAACGGTGAAACTAAACTTACACTGTTTGTTGGTGACGTTGGAGCAGCCGAACTGTCTCCGTTGGTCTGGAAAAATAACAACGATCGGTGTTGTTAAAATATTCAAATGTAGTCGGTAACCAGGTGGCCTGTGGGTCAGTGGACTAAGCCGGCACCACCTAGAATCCTGGGTTCAATTCTGGATCCTAACCACCCATGATTACACCGTGTTCTCAAACGTAGTATGCGTTTTTTTTCTCTGTAGCAGGGCATGTTGGAAAGGTTTAGAGTCCCTAGAGTCCCACAGTGTCAATCAAATATGTCACAGACGGAATCTCAGAAGTAGTTCTGTGATATCTCCTTCCGTGGGCCGTTTTATAATTCAATGTTTTTGCACCGCTGTGTGAGAATGCCTTAAAGGCTGCTTCTTTCATGACAATGCGTTTTAACAATTCGGAAAACAAAAACTTTTAACAAACTATTCTCTATGTGCTTCTTAGGAGATGTTTAGTAAACTGAATCATCATAATCACAATTTAAACAATCCAGAAATGGTTCACTACACAGCATACACGGAAGACTATCAGATAAAGCAACTTACCAACTTACCCAAGGTCTCAACCACCTTGAACGGCAATGTAAATTCCTCAGTCTCTAGATTACGAGCCACAGGACTAGCTCTCCAAAATATAATATACCTTGGAAGTAAAATATATCTTAGCATTTAGTGGAGAGAAAAAAGATAAAAAAAATGCAGCTTTAGTGCAAAATAGAATGTGCCAAAACCGGTCAGGAAAATTATTTTTTTTAAAAACCCCTTGTGAATTATGAACAGGAAACTCAGCAGTCGACAGACTCTACATAAAATGCTCCGGAAAATGAGGACGATCAATCACCAGGCACTACTCTGTAGCCAAAATGGCTAAGCACGTGGTTATGGATATTTATTGGCGAGAGGGCACTGCGGCGTCACCGCGGTGACCTCATGTGCTGGCTTCATCTCGGCGTTCTCACCACTGCAGATGCCCCCCTTCTCCGGCCTGTAGGAGGAGGCTGCAGTGTAAAGGGCTTAGTATTGAGGTACTCTTCTCCATCCACAAGGTCCTTGAAGTCATCCTCCTCCAGCAGGGCCTTGTAGAACTTGCTGACAAAGGGGCTGGGCAGGTCATGCACTCCATCTCCCTGCAGCAGAAAAGTCAGTGCAGTCAAGAGGGCCCCACTATTTCCCAGCGCTCACTCTACATCCAGTGGACTCTGCTCGGTGGCTTAAATATACGCTCATGCTTTTTGGTGATTAAAGGCAGCTGCGAGCTGTGTACATTTGTAGGCACGTTGACCTGCACTCACCTGGATGACCAAGAACCTCTTTGGATCACGGGCCATCTTAGAGAAGTCTGAAATAAGCTCACTGAACCTTGGGCGTGCCTCGGCATCGATCATCCAACCTTAAAATGAATAAGAAATACAGTTAACATAGGGTCCGGTTAAATTTCCATGTGTGGACGTATACATTATAGAAGAACCTCAAGCTGGAGTGGGCACATATGGCTTACATTTGACCATGACCATGTACACATCAATGGTGCAGATGGGAGGCTGAGGCAGCCTCTCCCCCTTCTCCAGAAGATCTGGGATTTCTCGGGCTGGAATTCCATCGTACGGTTTTCCTCCAAACATCATCAGCTCCCATACGGTAACTCCTGCAGGGACCACAAGCAACAGCAAACTCTCATTCTGCTTTGAAGTCTGCGTGTGGTTCAAACAACTTTCTCTAGAGCACTTTGAAAATAAACAACTTTCATTCAACAAAACAGATCGTATTCTTACCAAAACTCCACACGTCACTCTGGTGAGTGAATTTCCTGTACTGTATGGATTCCAGTGCCATCCACTTAATGGGCATCTGAGGAAAAAGCAGAACTTTAAAAATGCATAATTCCAAGCGATGTATTCTAAATATATGCTGGTTTTGCTATTTATGAGAATCTTAAGCAGGGCACAGCTATTTGTACAATTGCCAAAGCATACTCGAATGTTGTCTAATAGCCATTTATGACCATTTTGGGTTTTCAAGAATTTGCAAATGCCTATTCTTAGTTTATCCTACAGGGAGATACCTATATATTTAGTTGGGATCTTATATCCCTATCGCCATCATTCATAAATTATCTTCAAACATAAGCTTTATATCAAACAATGGCTCGACCTTTAGTCGTGACATAAAGAAATAAATATTGCTATCACAAGTTCGGAATTTTAAAAAATCCCATTTTACTAAAGGCAAGAAAGAGAGAATCTCGCCACCCCATATAATGGTGGTCGCGCATGACACGCGCATGACACGCGCATGTGTGCGCTCATAATAATTTAGCACATTGAGTCTTTTCACCATTCTTGTGAAGTTACATTCAAAGTTACACATTTTGTAAGTGCTCACAATTTCCATAGATTCAAAGGTGCGGGAAGCCACAGACAAGGGGAAGGCAGCCAGAACTGGCGCCAACAGTTGCAGAAAGCTATCGCTGCGATTTATCAAGACAGTCTGCAGTAGTTTAACAGTTTGGAGGCGATGTGGCTGTGTGTAATTCCAATGAAGTAATTTGCAGGTAATTTTTCAAATGTGGAAAATCTGGAGCATGATGCAGGCACATGATTTCCTACTCTCTTCGAATGACGTCATGGGATCGTTAATGTCCACGGCCTGCCAGAGTTGAACCGCAAACCTCCACAAAAAGCGGTGGGACTCGCTACTGCTGGACCATTTGGACCATGTCTTCACCTCGAAGATACGGGTGCATAACGATACTGCTAATGATGATTGTTCCTTTAAGACAGTGAATAATAGGAATGCCTTCACAATCAGTGTGATTAGGGACTGTGGGTCAATGCCTTAGGAGCAGGCATGAGAAATACCCCACATCGTGCTGCACAGCTCCCTTGTTGACATTACGGTGCCCAGAATCTCGCAAAGCCCAGACAGGTGGCCCAGCGGCAAGGCGAGCGCCTCGCAATTGGAAGGTAGCAAGTTCAAATCCTGGTTTTGGGGTTGACTCAACCCATCGACCCTCTGGGGTAGATAAAATTAGTATGCACTTTGTGGGAAAGTCAACAGTGGTTATTCTATCGATAGACTCACGACCACCATAAGATGCAAAATAATACGACATTATAATTCAATGTCCTTCTTGGGTCAATAAAATAAGTGCCACTGTGGGACGTCGACGTTCAATGTATAAAAATATCTGCTAAAGGAATGGGAAGTTTCCACCCAAGGCTCAATACTGTTTCATTAATTTTACGTCCATCATCGCAACTTAGATCAATGGCGATCATTTGTGTGCCCGGCCAATAGTGGCACGTCAATCATCAGCCGTGCACAGCTCCCCCTAACAGACAACACTGGAGCAGTTGAGCGAGCCATCGTCTGCTCTTCGTCGCAGATGTGCTTCGAGTTCCGGGTCCAGCTGAGATAGCAACGATGACGTTGATAAATCACAAAGATAGCAATGCACTCGAAGCCAGTTGCGTTCAAGGACTATTTAAAACACCACAGAGCCAGTCGAGTTAATTAAGGTGTTCTCTTCAGATGCCAACATTAACCAATCAGTCTTTATTTTACGTGCCAATATCGCCCTCAATAAAGTAGGCATCAGTGTATGCATGTTGAGCTTCTTTTGCACCGTACGTAGCCAACCGTGCTAAACAGAGGTGCGGGAGAAGGAAAACAAACTGAACACAAAAAGCAGTTCTAAAGAAACGAGTTTTCAATTTAGATTTCAAAGTGCACAACTCCAGCAGTACAGGGGCATGGAGCAACATGAATGAAAAAAAAAGAAAACCTATCACGACCTCAGCGGCTAACACAGACCTGCTGGTTCGCAAGTTGAAGAACCCATAATCCTACTCCTACAGTACTTCCGCAGGCCTTGCCGCACGACTGGCAAAGGCTCTGTGCTGCGATTGGATCCCGGCGGCGGTGTCGATCGTCACCTTGCCCCCCTCGGCGTGGTACTCCTGCTCGTCACCGTCGAGCAGCCGCGCCAGCCCAAAGTCGGTGATCTTGACGTGGTTGACGGCCTTGACGAGGATGTTGCGTGCAGCGAGGTCGCGGTGCACCAGCCGCTGGTCTTCCAGGTAGAGCATGCCCTGTGTGGGGGGGGAGGGGGGGCGAGGAAGTGGGGTCAAAGGAGCAAATGGGGGGGGGGGGCAGGAGGTGCCACGCCGCTCAGCTTCACACACCAGGGTTGTCGTCTGTCCTGGTTCGTATATTTTTGACATAGCTCTCTTGGGAAATCTGTATAAGTTTTACCAGGACGTAAAAAAAGTACCGCTTTTGTCAGCTGTTTAATATTACACCACTTAACACACAGTAATGCGTTACACTACTGTGACAGTGAAATATTCCTCCTGTGACCCCGTGAGGCGGCAAGGCTAGCTCGTGCGAGCATCACTGGCGTAAAAGGAACGGTATGCGGAAAGGGATTACAAACACTGTTACTACTGGATATATCTCGGCTGAGTTCTTAACCTTATGCTGTCACACACCGGTGTGCGATGGTGCATGCCCACATTCTAGTGCCCTCAAGGCAAAATGGGGCCGCTAGGAGTGAGGATACCACATTGCCCACCCCCGTGGCTCCAAAATGTCAATAAGCGGGTCACTGATGATAACGATGATGATTATAATGACTGGAAGGGAACAGAAGGGGGGCAAAGGAAGAACAGCAACGGACAAACGAAACCCATGGAGACAAGTCTACTGGACATCTGTGAAACTACCGGACATCTGTGAAAGTAAATATTCTGATTCTGATCGAGACGGTGGATTACCACGGTGGTACGCACCTTGGCGATCTGGACACACCAGTTGAGCAGGATCTGCGAGTTGAGCTTGTGTACGTGCTCGCGCACGTAGTCGAGGAGGCAGCCGTGCGGCATGAGCTGCGTCACGAGCTGCGTCGTGGAGGTCAGGCAGATGCCCAGCAGCTGCACCAGGTATGGGTGCTCCACGCGCGCCATCAGGTACGCCTCCTGCACGCATGAGATTGGCAACTTTTGGGACAGGCTACCTAACGATACGAGCGCGACTCCCTCTACCCCTGAATCAAAAATTACGTTCGAGAAAATAAATATCCATCAACAGACACGACATCACCACGCGACGAAAGGGTGACACCGGCTGATTATGCCACTGTGCCCCACTGGCATGATCCAATCAAGATCAACCCTTCACAATTAGTTATATATTTATAATACAGGCGGCCATGGGAAATCAGAGCCCCATTCATATAGCGATAGAGTGATTTGGTGCTTTTTGTTTAAGTGCTGTAAATATGGTGCTGATACAGGGTTATTATTTATAGAACATTGCAATTATTTTGTTCCGTATATGAAACTCCACAGGGTATTGAGAAATACGAGGTGATATCGGCACTCCCTTGGTGTTCCATTATCTTACTTGGTTATAAATAAAGGATGTGCTGATAATGATGATTGAGGACAATGAAGATTATCGTAATGTAATTATTGATTAATAATGATAAGGATGGATACAATGCCTGCATGTTGTGCTCGGCATTACACTTGGATCTACCATAATAAGCATCTCAATTATCATCATCCGACACGTCAAGTGTTCTTTCACAGCAGTTTATGTGTATATGAATAACTGCAGCCTTGCACCCAGCCTCAAAAAGCATTCAGTTACAGACAGCATTGGTGCAATATAAAAACAATTGCAGATGATTTTCCCAATATGGAATTATATATAGAGGGGAAATGGTTATGCAGTGATTCGTACAATGCACTAAGATCCCAGAAAACTGAGTTCGATTCCCATCCACGGCTAACATCATTGGCGTGTCATATCTTTCCTGTCTCTTGATATCACACCTCCGCTTCATCAACCCACACTGACCAGTATGGCTAAGTATGGTGTAACAAACCCCCACGACTGGCATGGTATGGGAGGCCTTCATCCAGCAGTGGCTTGATAAAGGCTGTAATTGTTATTTTATTACACAGGAGTCTTTATCTATAGTGTATGTGTGGCACATCAGTTGCCGTTGTGTAAAGCAGCACTGCATGGTTTAAATCTTGCGCCAGTCCACTGCGTGGAATGTGATACTTACGTCCAGAATCTCCTTGTTGGCCTTTGGAGATGTGGCTTCTCTCAAAACTTTGATGGCAACGGAGATCTTGACCGATTCTCCCTCGGGTATCCATACCCCCTGTCAAGGACACAACAACATGAAGTCACTGCTGTCAGTGACATTAATCAGAAAGGCGGCCGGATGGCTCAGTGGTCAGAGCACTGAGCTGGTACTGCTAAGTTCGTGGCTTCAAATCCTGGTGATGTCCTGCGATTAAACCACGTTTTCAAGTGTAGTGAGTTGATGCTCTTAGCCCAGACACCAATAACTGCACACAAAAAGGCATCATGTAAAATGGGTTTCTGCACTTAAGCTGGCTAAATTCCACATTTTAGAATTAAAATATTGTCATGGGATGAACATGACTATGGTATGCAGAGCGCATGTGAAAGTGCTGCCCGCTATTATGTGGACCAGAGGTCACTTGAACGGATCTCAGAGATGTCTGCTTCCATGGGCCATTCTCCAACATGAAGGGTTGCAAAGATCCGATTAGATAGTTTGTCTAATGAAATGATGCCGAAAGCACAATCGGGATAATATTGGGGAAGAGTTACGCTTCATGTTCTAACTTCTCCAGATGAAGATCTGGCAAACCAGCTTTTAATGATATAAATGCAGGCAGCAAATTGGAAAACAAATATCGGAAGCTTCTCCACCCCCTTTCTCCACTCCCACACGGTCCCTCCCATTAATGGATCCAGGCTGTCCATTATGTCAGATGTTTTGGTACAGTATGTCCCCAAAATATTTTTTACACTTGCCAAACACCAACGTGCAGTATTCATCTTGCATGAATTAATGCACAGTGGGCCCATGAGCATTCATATTTACAAAGTGTATGAGATGTCGGGAGCGGGGATACAGAGGGAAACTGAAATATGTCTTGACTTAAAGCTTTCGTGACTGCATGAATTCATACTCTTTGGGTCTTTCGGTTAAGTCACGTGACTTTATCGAAAGACCCAAAGAGTATGAATTATGTCTGTAGGAAGTTAAGTACATTTGTCCTGCCCTCCGTGCACCCCTCCACTTGAATAAAGTTCCCCCGTACATTAAGCAGTGCCCGACCTTAACCTTCTTCCATTCCTCTCTAAAAACGCTCACCTCTTAAAGCTCCACCTCTTAAAATTCCACTTTTTTTAAATTCCACCTCTTCTCCATTGCCCATTCTCTTCCTCTCCCCTCCACTGTTTCCCTTCTCTTCACTCCCTTTTCATGACCAATAAGCACCATCTGCCACGGTCACCTATTCCTCAGCCCCTGCAACGTCCCTGCCATCTAAATCCTTCTTTTATTTTAAATGTTTTACACTGTGCTTATCACCTTGAGTAAAGGTGCTCTATACATATGTAGTGACATCAGCGATGTCACTGTATGGTGCCGGACCGGAAGGGCCGTGGCGTGCGATGCACCATCATCGCGTACACCCCGTGGTGGGTGTAGTACCAGCCCTGGCGGCGCTTGGTGAGCGCTGGGATCGCGCAGGCACCACGCAAGGCGTTCAGTGCGTTCTCCCACGAGGGGGAGTGGGAGAGTGTCAGCCCAAGGACAGGGTTGCCCTGGGCCATGGCACTCTGGTTGACCCTGCAGACACGTGATCTAGAGCAGCGGTCCACAACCTTTTTGGCACCAGGGACCGGTTTCGTGGAAGACAATTTTTTCACGGACCGGGGAGGGGGGGTTCATCATTGGGTCTTTCCCCATTTTCAAAGAAGCTCTCTAGCTACGTTTGTTTTTTACTCATTTTGACAAGGGTTAGCTTGTGGGCTTTATACCAAAACTGTGACTGAGACAAGTGCGCAGTGCGGGAAAGAGGCGCGGACGGAAGTGGTAAATAATAAAATAATGGCGGGCCACGCGCGGACTCACCGCTCACCTCCTGCTGTGCGGCCGGGTTCCTAAAAGGCCACGGACTGGTACCGGTCCGTGGCCCGGTACTGGTCCGTGGCCCGGGGGTTGGGGACCCCTGATCTAGAGTGTCCACAGAGAGACCCCAGGTGGGGGGACTAGGGGGTGATCACATGTCCGGGGAGAGCTCTCGAGAGGGATCGAGGGGGGGCTAGAAGGCTCCAGAAGGTGGGCGGGGCCAGGGGCGGAGCGGCCCCGACCCGTGGGGGGATATAAGGCGGGGTCCCTGAGAGGGACCGGGGTCGCGGCATTCTACAAGCTGGAAGCTCTACGTCTCAAGCTAGAAGCTCAACATCTATAAGCTGGAGCTCAACATCTACAAGCAGGAAGTTCTACGTTTCAAGCTGGAAGCTCTACATCTATAAGCTGGAAGCTCAACATCTACAAGCGGGAAGCTCTACGTCTCAAGCTGGAAGCTCAACATCTACAAGCTGGAAGCTCAACATCTACAAGCTGGAAGCTCTACGTTTCAAGCTGGAAGCTCAACATCTATAAGCTGGAAGCTCTACATCTACAAGCGGGAAGCTCTACGTCTCAAGCTGGAAGCTCAAAATCTACAAGCTGGAAGCTCAACATCTACAAGCTGGAAGCTCAACACCTACAAGCTGGAAGCTCAACATCTACAAGTGGGAAGCTCAACATCTACAAGCGGGAAGCTCAACATCTACAAGCGGGAAGCTCTACGTCTCAAGCTGGAAGCTCAACATCTACAAGCTGGAAGCTCTACGTCTCAAGCTGGAAGCTCAACATCTACAAGCTGGAAGCTCAACATCTACAAGCTGGAAGCTCGACACCTACAAGCTGGAAGCTCAACATCTACAAGCGGGAAGCTCTACGTCTCAAGCTGGAAGCTCAACATCTACAAGCTGGAAGTTCTACGTCTCAAGCTGGAAGCTCTATGTCTCAAGCTGGAAGCTCAACATCTACAAGCTGGAAGCTCAACATCTATAAGCTGGAAGCTCAACATCTACAAGCGGGAAGCTCTACGTCTCAAGCTGGAAGCTCAACATTTACAAGCTGGAAGCTCTACGTCTACAAGCTGGAAACTCAACATCTACAAGCTGGAAGCTCAACATCTATAAGCTGGAAGCTCAACACCTACAAGCTGGAAGCTCAACACCTACAAGCTGGAAGCTCAACACCTACAAGCGGGAAGCTCAACATCTACAAGCGGGAAGCTCAACATCTACAAGCGGGAAGCTCAACATCTACAAGCTGGAAGCTCTACATCTACAAGCTGGAAGCTCAACACCTACAAGCTGGAAGCTCAACATCTACAAGCTAGAAGCTCAACACCTACAAGCTGGAAGCTCAACACCTACAAGCTGGAAGCTCAACATCTACAAGCTGGGAGCTCAACACCTACAAGCTGGAAGCTCAACATCTACAAGCTGGAAGCTCTACATCTACAAGCTGGAAGCTCAACATCTACAAGCTGGAAGCTCTACATCTACAAGCTGGAAGCTCTACATCTACAAGCTGGAAACTCAACATCTACAAGCTGGAAGCTCAACATCTACAAGCTGGAAGCTCAACATCTACAAGCGGGAAGCTCAACATCTACAAGCTGGAAGCTCAACACCTACAAGCTGGAAGCTCTACATCTACAAGCTGGAAGCTCAACATCTACAAGCTGGAAGCTCAACACCTACAAGCTGGAAGCTCTACATCTACAAGCTGGAAGCTCAACATCTACAAGCTGGAAGCTCTACGTCTACAAGCTGGTAGCTCAACATCTACAAGCTGGGAGCTCAACATCTACAAGCTGGAAGCTCAACATCTACAAGCTGGAAGCTGAACATCTACAAGCGGGAAGCTCAACATCTACAAGCTGGAAGCTCAACATTTACAAGCGGGAAGCTCTACGTCTCAAGCTGGAAACTCTATGTCCTACGAGGCAACCACGTGGTTGCGGACCCGAGTGAGGGCCCGACCCTTCGTAGCAGTAACTCCTCTGTATAGTGTAGTTAGCTGGGTGGTCACCACCCTAGGCTGTATCTGGTGAAGGGGCAGTTACCCCTTTGTGTTATGGTGTTACAAATAAATGTGTTGCCTCTAAAAGGAACAAGGTCTGCGACTCAGTTGGACTAACTACACATATAAAACAGGACATTTTCTAAATTCATACTTCACAAGCCTGATTTGATCTCACATATTTAAAAAATGTGCACTTTTCCTGTTTATTATAGTCTGGTTTGTTTAATATGCAAACCTTGTACACTGTTCCAAAGGCCCCTGAGCCCAAGACTTTTCCCTTTTTCAGGTGTGTCTCCTTGATAATCCGTAGCTTTGATTGGTTCGGAACGGCACCGCTTGGAGTTAAAGGCTGCACCAGCTGAAACAAGAAAACAGACAGAACAAATACCCGTTACCATTTCCCTTCAAAGACAAAAGCTATATAAACGTACCACCACCATCCATAGTAAAATGAGCCAATTGCTCAATTCCAGAGTTATAAAAGTATATTTGTATTCCTTGGATCTTGTGATAGAACAAACATTATGTTTGTAGACACGTGTGCAATGCCACCATTATAGGGTGGATGAGGATGGTGCGTGCAAAAGACCGCTCCTTCACCTCGTTTTCGATGTACTTTCGGAGGGTTTTCTTGCGGCGTTTTGTCTGCTGCCTCTTGAAGATGAAGATGCCCAGTACAAGTACGACGATGACAAACATGATGCTCAGGACCGATAATATCACCACAAGCTTCATGCTACAAAACAATGAAATAGGAATGATCACTTTGATACATACATTGATTCCACCACTGCTCACCAAATCATTCTACCCTCCACCAGATCCCAAAGCTCCTGGGCAGTAGACACGCCACCTCCAAGATCTGCCCTGACAGCATCCCACCATCTGGCCTGAGATCTTCGCCTTGGTCACCAAATTCATGGAGACCTCTCCAGTGCCTGCCTCATGAATCGGCCCTCCCCCATCCTGCACAGGTCTCACCTAGCGTAACTGTTTTGCCTTCTCGTATCTACAACACTTAACTGCCACGTTATCTTCCACACTTTTGAATTGCTTATCCTGTCTTACCATAAAATTCCGATCATTTGTCTCAGACACCTATGCTCAAATGCCAGGAACTTACTTTCAAGCTGCTTATTTAGCATCCAGGGGCCCAAGTACCGAACAGCTTATGCACAAAAGGGTGACCGTAAGTTTACATGAGGTTTTGCGAGTAATGGGGAGCAGACAATTTCTCCATTAGGTTACAAACACAGACAATCACACTTGGCACATCATCATAAACACACGCGCAGAAACACAAAATTCATATTGGACATGCGTGGTGCGATCTTTACCTATGTTTGGCCATTCCACTGCAGTCTTCTGCGTTTGGTCCTGTGCAGCTGAAAACATCAGGGTTGGGGGCGGGGGTCAGGGTGAGGTAGGAAATGAAGGTTACAATAAGTGACTTCATTATAAATGTGGAGCGCCACAACAATTTAACACAATGCACGAATTCATGCACACGACAAGAGGCGTAGACAAATGCTCCGCTGCTCACCTGTGGATGCAGCTGGTGTGGCAAGGCATGCAGATGTTGAACGCGTTTGGGTACTTGTAAATGACCGTGTTGTTCTCTCCCTGGATGCCGCTGGGGCATTTCGAGACGCAAAGTGGTCCCTCCTTGAAGTTACGACAAGCGGAGCAATTTTCTGATCCCTGCAGCAAGCACCGCACGGCCGTCAAGTTAAAACTAAAACAAAAACCTCCTAGAACTATTATCCTTTGCTGATCAGCTATTTATGGCAGATGTAAGAAAAGTTGACAGTATCCACATGTGACAATGGAAGCACTTGAAGATGGTCATTGCTTTTTGATATTCACTGCTTAAGCAGGGCAGCGAAAGGAAGTAAATTAAATTATGCTATACCTGGTTGATTTGAAGTTTACAATTTACTGTTGCACTTCTAATGAATGGAAATGGTGTGCACATGAGGTCTGCACAAAAGGCACACACCCTATGAGCAAGCATGGGAATCCAACACCAATTCCACAGTGTCAATTCTGCATATGAGGTAAATTCCCCCTTCATGAGGTCAACACAGGTGGAACCAGCACCATATATTTGCAGGAGCGAAATAACTCACTGCTGTGTGCTAGTTTCACATAGTTTCATATTTTGCTGCGCCAAAGATCTTTGGATTTGGAATTCCACGATTATTTGCGCGATAATGCGTTCAATCTGTTATGTGTTATCGCAATGTACCGTGCGTTGTTCGGCCTTGTGTCTGAAGTTTCACTCCACTGCTGGGAGCTTCTTTAAGAAATTAATGCCTGATGAATGTCCCGGCATCCTTGGACAGTGTGTCAGGCAATACGTGGCACAACCCGAAAACACATAGGACAGCAGCAATACAGCACAAGCGCGAAAACCTAGGCAGCAGTACCTCAGGCCTTTTCGTGCACAGGGAAGTTTGGATTTACGGCCACCGTCATTTCCTTACGACAACACCATTATAACCGAGACGAATAAAAAATCCCCATGCATTGGCCACTGAGCGAAGGTGGCTGTGCATGTGAGCAGTACAGACCGGGCCGTTGCAGGTGAGATTGTTGTTCACAGGAAGGCACTCCGGATTGCACGCCTTGCACATGTTCCCATCGGTGAACTCCCGCACCTCCCTGTCACACGCACACTGCCACCATTAGGGCCACCATCCGAAGCCAGAGGGATTACATTGTATATCTATAGAAGCAATCAGTGGGAATGTGAGTTTCCACGTGATCATATAAAACTTTACTTGCTTGATTTATTATAGTAAAGGCATCTATTACCTACAAGAATGCAGCACTGTTGGACTACACGTACCACAGACCGAAATTGGCCTTAATGTTTTTAAAATAAATTTTCATTTGCAATATTTAACAGGCCAATTGAACCCCGGTGGAAATTCTGAAGCGTGGAGATATTCGTGCTGGAATTACATTGAGAGGCATAAAATGAACGCGTGAATTACAATGCATGTACAGGTTAATGACGCCATTCAGACCGTTCATAAAAAAAAGTTTGGGGCTTGGGAAGAACACGTCGCTAAATAGAATGATGGCAGATGGTCAAGAACAAGGAGGGAGTGGTAATCAAGGAACGGAATGTGTCTGAGAAGACATCCACCAAGAACATTGTGACTAAACCAGTTCGATTGCAGGTGATATTATATATCACAGAGAGATGCCACCAGATTGTGTAGGCCTTCACCCTACAGTGGATTAACCATGACTGATAATGATGTCGAATGTCTTCATTGCATGAAACTAGAGGGCATTCAAGGAAACGATCTGCTGCTCTTGATCCAGTGATGGCTAAGATCTTAAGTTTTAAAGCAAGCTCCAGCCAAATGGAATGCAAGAAGATAAAACACCTGCTTAAGCAATCGTGGTGTGGATCTCTATGTGTAAAAACAAAACGTTGGGGATTCCCTTGATGTGATGCAGGTTTAATGCAAACTAGATTTATATGAGGGTTATATGCTGTGCACATACAGCTGAACATTTCCTGGGTAGAATACGAACAATGTTGGTTCCAGTCCAATGTGTCACCCGCAACTAAGTTATCAAATATCCCGGTTTCACCGGAGCAATCATAATTTCAGAAAAAGTCGCCCCCTGTGTCCTGAAGCACATGTGGAAATCCGCATTTTTTTGTCCTAGTTTCAACTTCATGCTTGACTTACAATAAGGACAGGATCACCGGAGCAGTGAGTGAGGTTGGCAAAGGAGTGGGTGAGGCCTCTGAGCCAGTCGGTGGGGGCAAACATCAAAAAGAGTCCACCAAATGTTTACATTTATTTTCTTTACCCAGGTGAGGTTGGGCTGACAGAGGAAGGGGCTACCAGCTCATTATACATTGAGCCTCCAAGAAACGTGGTAGCTTTTCACACAACACAAACACGTTGCACCGGCCCTTGGCACACAGGTGCTACTGGTGGCAGGTCTCAGTGGGGTGACGTGCAGTGCTCACCCGTGCATGAGGTTGCAGGCTTCCACGCACGTGCGGTTTCTCTGGAAGTGCTTACAGGCGAGGCACTGCGAAGGCCCGGGGCCCCAGCAGCCATCGGTAGAGCACAGTACATCGCACTGCTTGTCTGGGGAATTTGGGGAACACACGGCATCATCAAGCTAACAGGGACACCCACACACACTTTGCGGTTGAAGTGGTGACATCGCTGAGCGGTAAACACGTTTGTTGCAGAGGTTCGTGGTTCAGTCCCAACGGCCGCCCTAGTTAATAATGCGGGTGGATTAACCAAAAATATGGTAAGTCTATTTGGCAGTGGGACGTTATTCGAAAAAGAGTGGACCCTGTGTGTCGGCATGATAGTTCACATTTGGGGTGCCACAGTGGAAAGATGTTAACTACCTCACCTGGTATACAGGAGCCCGTGGGTTCGATCCCGACCTCGATGCCTTTATATTTGGAGTTTAGATTTAGCGTGGATTTTTCTCCAGGCACTCCGGTTTTTCCCTCCACATTTATAATCAACATGCGTTTAGAGTATTTGGCTGCAATACATTTCCATGCGATAAGCCACTTTGTTTAGCTATCATTTGTGGCTAGGTCATTTCTGAAACAGAGCTACATAGTTCAGTGGGCCTTACCTTGTAAAATAAAATAAAAACGTTTTTTCGTAGTTTATCATTTTCCAAATCATAATATAAATCTAATTGGGTAAAACCACGCAGCAAAATTGTCCTATACTTCTAAACTTTAGCAGGCTACACTAATCTGCGGAACATAGACCATTGAGAATATTCTTGTGCTTTAAGAATATCACGAATAGCAATTTCGCAAATTATTTATTTAATTATAAACCACTTTTAATTGGGTTCAATGCCAATGAAAATGAGGTAGCTGTATAGTTATTTTTCCCGTTGTTTGTGAGGAATACATTTCGGAGATGCTCGAAAATAGCACATTTTGTGGATAATGACAATGGGCTTTTTATTGAATTCCCTTAAATAAATATGCAATAAATAAGCAATGAAATACATGAAAATTATCTCATCACTCCTCTCTATCTCCATGAGTCATGTAGAGCTCCAGATGCGATTCTCGGATAGCCAAAATCGCAGATAGCAAGTTTGTGAATGACGAGGGAAGACTGTACGGTCCAGAGGGCAGAGCACTGAGAAAGCCACTGTGGAAATACCGGGTGAAATTCTGCAATCACCCAGCTTCAAACCGTTTCTCATATGTAGCGACTTGAGGGGTCTCAGCCTGGCCACCGATGACTGCCTAAAAATCCCATTTTGTAATATTTGGTTTTGACTTAATTTGATAACAATTCCAGCTCCGTGAGTAAGACAGTTACGGTTTGACTGTCACGTGACAAATAACTATGGGGCGGAGCATACGGCAAAATGTACCTCCCTGTGGTTAGATAACAGACAATAACATACTCATTGTTTTTTTTCGGTAAAGTCACGAATGTAGAAAATTATATTATTTTAATATAATTTTCTACGTAGAAAATTATATTATTTTAATATAATTTTCTACATACGTGATTTTACAAAAAAAAACACAATGAGTATAGTAATTTATGCAGTCACAAAAAGCTTCAATTCTATATTAGACAATAACATTCTGAAATGGTCAGTGAAAAATTCAGCAGTGCTACCAATCCGTGGACACACGGGCACGGTGCTTGTTTTTTTTTACACTGTGTGAATACTCTCCCCACATATAGCCGCTCTTTACAACAAAAAAATACATTCTCTACAAACAACATCCTCTGCAATATCAGGTCACAGATCCGTGTGCTCATGGTAACATGCAATTTGCAGCATACCACAGTTTTTGTTGTTGTCCACAATTTTAATCAGGGTAGATGTTGACCCAGTCAGACGGGTCCAATTCACAGAGTTGTAGAAGCACAGCTTTTTGTTCTGCTGAATTAAGATGTTGCCTTTGCTGATCTCTTGCAGAGATTTCAGATTCAGAGATGTGATATTGTTCAGGTTAGAAATTAAGAAAGAATACTCTTTAGAGCTGTAAAGAGAACCAACAGAGACACACACAAAATAATGCTAGTACAAAAATTACAACGATCTGGCGATGGGCATAGCAGCCTTTCCTCATTTACACCAGGGCTGAGAGCTTGACCTGTATGCCCATGGCGACATCGACAGATCATCCGTCCCTCATTTTGTCTTGCGGTAACATGTGCTTCGAGTTTGTTTAACATTGGCCATGTCGAGCTCCCTCTTCCCCGAGCCTTTTAGGTTTATTATGGCCCCCTTTAAACAAAGTCTCACTACAGATTTGATATTTAATCAATAAAGCAAAACCCAACAGTTGTGTTTACATTTGCTAAACAACATACAGACGGCATTCCATTGTCCACGTTGAGTGCTTTCATGCAATTGTAAAGGGTATGTATTCGTTCAATGTATATTTTTTTGTAGCTTAAACATTACCTTCTCAATTCTCTGCCTTGCACGACCCTGAGGTTTTCGAAGACCCCAAGATCCGGTAACTCTTCGGGCCATCCCTCGATGTTGAAGTATCCTGTGGCATACATTCTCTCAGTCAATGCACTGCAGCATTGCTAACACACAGCTGATCATTAGGCATGTATCGACAGAACAAATTAGGGGAGGCAATACAAATTACACAGTATAAACGAGATAAAGACGAATAGATGATTGCATTCAATTGTGACCCCAATGAGGGACAATTAATGGAATTGTTGCCGGGTAAATATCGACAGTAGATACCGATTGATAATTATAAAACACTGGCTGTACAGTGCCATTGATTAAATATACCACTCAGTACACAGCATCCTACATGTCTTCTCTTTCACGAAAAAATATTACGCCTCCAGGGCATAGCTGGTTTAGCGGCTGTTGCAAAATGCATCCAAGTCGATTGACCGTGGCTGATCGTGATGATGCCAAGATGCACCTATCTTATAAAAGTGACATTTAACAGAGTACTTTAGAAACGATTGTGCTTCGCATTGCAAAAGGTGTCTTGAATGTCAGATGCCCAGCCACACCTGTTATTTCCTGCACGGTTCTGAAATAGTTCAGATGCTCTGGATTCATGCGTTCTATTCGTAAATAAGGATCCCTGAAACAAAACGAGAACAACAGGAAAAAAAAAAGAACACGTGAATTGCCGAGTGAGAAACCCAACATGCAGTCCCTGCATTAAAGAAGAGTTCCTGAGTTCACACCGTGCGCATCAGTGCTTTACAGTGGAAGGTGGCAGCCTTCACGCAGCCCCACTCTGCTGAGTGACGAATCATGACGAATGCTGTCAATGCAGAGACCAAACATCGATCATCAATCTCCAGCGCAACAACACAAGCCATGCCAACAGCCCTCTTCAGGGCAAAACAACGCTCCAGATAGGCCCTGGGACAAGGATCCTCCAACTGAACATTAAGGGACTCTCCCAGGGCGAAGTCCGAGTGTCTCGCAATAGTAATGAATCACAGAGGATTACACTTCGCTGCTCCTGACGCAGTTATCTGGCTCGACCACCTGAATGTGAAATTGTAATCTGTTGCTCTGTAATATACATCTGCAAGGAAGAGGGGGGAGGAGGGGGGAGAGCAGCTTGATAATGCGTGTGAGATCGAGGCCAAGCTTACCCGTTGATGCCCGGCTTCTGAATGACTAGGTTTCCTCTAATTTTTGTGCAGTTTTGAAAGAGGTGGATATTGGCAGAGTTGATCGTCTGACTTTCCTTCAGGCTCCCGGACCCTATTCCGTCACACACTAGCACAAAGATACCACACGTTAGATTATAATAATCATAAACAACCCCGTGTAAAAAAAAAAACTTGGAAATATTTACCTTTGGTTTAAGCTTCATCAAGAAGTTTTACTGTTGTCAATATTGTACTGTGCACTGCAGAATAGTACTTTGGGTGGTGTTACATATCCTTGCAGAACAAGTGAAAATTGTTGCTTGTAAATGTTATTTTTAAACACTCGTAAAATATGATATTGAATCAAGAAACCATTAATTTGGGTCACTAGGTTGCATTATGCAATGTAGACAAAACAAATAATCCACTTTGCAGAAAGAATTGTGTTCGTCATATAGCGACTGCTTACGTCGAGAGCAATCAGTGACCTTGAGCAGAATGTTGTTAAAGAAGTTGGAATTCATGTGCCTTGTGAAAAACAAATAGTTATCACATGGCACCCAGTGTGTGAGTGTACAGTCGAGAAATTCACAATTAAGGAGCTGTGCTGTGTCCTAGTCTCCAGCACATTCGAAAATAAAGATACTTCTGTGTGTGTGTGTAGAAACAAGGTTGTAAAAGAGCATGATGGGTGAGATGTACCTGTGGGACAGGTGTCACCGCAGGCGGTGCAGTGCTTAACCCCACTGCTGTTTTCTACTTCCATTTTATTTGCGGAGCACGAGCGAACACATGAGTTGGAGTCCACCACAAAATGACCTAATATGGGAAACAAAAAATATTAGCAGACTTTCTTTCTTCGTCTTCACACACACACACACATATATATTTTTAAACTTCATTCATCGGCATATTCCGCGGAAGCATAGAGGCAGACCTCAAACCTTGGTGATTATGGGAAAGAATACTGTGCTCAAATATCAGACATGCCATAGAAGTGGACAGTGCAGTTAGTACAGTGCATCACACAAAATTTACGGGAAGCACATTTCTCTTCCATGAATAAGTGCCCAAACACTTAAACACTGCAATAACAAAAATCTTGAGTTGAATTCTTGACCAAGGCGAACAACCCACACTGACCAGCACGGTGAGATATAATCAAACTAACCCCTATGACTGGCACAGTATGAGGAGGAGGCCTTCATTCAGCAATGGATTTGAACAATTTTGGTATTATTTAAAAGCAAAATATTTTAAACTTACATTTAGGTTTTGTGGGGACAAACAAGATTGTATGAATGAGACAGGATAAACAAGAAAAAAAGAAGCAGCATTAAACAAGACAGCCAAGATGTGATAACGTATTTCATTATTGAAATGAATGGCAACTACAAATGACGGACATTAAATGCCTATAAAATACATCTGTTTTTAGCACATGAATGACAACAGAGCCACCATTAGGTGCTCTGCAAACTAAACAATTGAATAAGTTCCACATTGATACGTTATTACTTCATTAGCTTGGCCTTCTCAGATGCAACCTCACTATTGCATACAAGTTAATGACTTCAAACCTACTCTTGAGGGAACTTAATGTAGGTAACTTATCTGCACGTTGGATAGAGGATGAACCTCACGGCAAAGTGTTCACAAGCATAGAAAGAGGTTTTCTTTTTTTTTAAACAACGACTGACATGGTGCCCAGAAAACTCAACGTAGCACAAATGTACGTGCATGCGTTCTGGGCAGAATTAGCCAATGGTTGCTTATGATTGGATGAGGGTCAGCGCATGGGGTCAGCGTTTTTGAGGCTCGACGCGAATCCAATAGAATGTTAATTTATGCAGATGCATCGAAATGCATCTGCATCGAAATGCATCTGCATCGAAATGCATCTGCATCTCTCCAGATGCTGCGTGCAAAGAAGAAACCCAGGACAGTGAACCATGTAAAAACACACCCAGAATGCAACTAAGGCTAAAATATAAAGTTGCAACCCCTTGACATTTCTTGATCAAAGCCACTGCTGGTCGAAGGGCCTCCACACTTTGAGGTAGCTGACGAAAACCCCTCTAGGGGCATACTTTGTCACGATGGCCATCGCGAAATGGAGTTTACATTAGAGGCAAGAGCCACAGACAGAAGAGGAGAGTTTGAGAGCCCAGATGTGAACAGGGGCAGGAAGTTGGATGACTGGCGGCGGAGGCGGGAGTGGGGGAATTCTAGACAGCGAGCAAAGCAGCAGAGTGATCTCCGAGCAAAAAGCATCTTGAGCATCCAAGCAGTTGCGCCGTATATTTGCAGCTGCGCTGCATAGCTCTCCAGTGCATATCCGGGTTGCCCGGCACGTATTATTTGGCACGACGTTCGACGTTTCGCTCCTGCTGCGGGGGGAACTTCTTCAGATCGCAAAGTTCCTGAAGAAGCTCCCGGTGCTTTGGGAGATGAACGTCGGACACCGTGCCAAACAACAACAAACACACAGTGCAACCAGAAAACACGCTGGAGGGCAATAATAGAGTCGTTTGACGCGAAACATTACAAGAGCTAATGACGAGCAACTAATATATACAGAGTGCTTTAAGAAAAAATGTTAACACTTATATAAGACTATCGTATTTAGCGGAACAGAACGGATAATAATACACTGTAACATGATAACAAATGTAAGTTAATAGCTTCAACAAGTCAAAGAGTCTCCACTTGTTCGGCGTCGTCGTCAACGCGTGCGTGGAATCTTCTCCAGGTGGTCTCCAGAGCCCGGAGGCAGATGGTCTCGTGGCATTGTCGCAAATCCTCGGAAGTGTTAACATTTTTTCTTCTTTGGTTCTTTCGGTAAAGTCACGTAGAATGAGAATAAAATAATAAATTCTACGTGACTTTACTGAAAGAACCAAAGAAGATGAATCCTTGCAGTCACGAAAGCTTTAAATCGAAGTGTTAACATTTTTTTTTTTAAGCACCCTGTAGAGACACTCACTTGGGCACTTCTCCAGGCAGGTGGCCCCGTAGCTGTACTTGCCGTGTGGGTTAGGCTCCTGCTTTAATGAGATTTGGTTGTAGACCTCAGGCGGGGGGCAGCGCTCTATGCATGCCCCGCTGTCGTTGACGTTCCTGCACGCCTGTATTCCACGAGACAAAACGTGGGGCCGCAGCCCAACGGAAACCATTCCCGACCCTGATGATCGTGATTTTTTTTTTCGCGTGTGTGTGAATATAAATGCGTCATTAAACCCTGCCACCGCCACCACCACCACCACCATCCGACACAGCCAATTTAGTGAGGTTTGTACCGGCCAACAAAATGTGCGAGTAAATTACGACTAGCAGTAGTAACACACCGTGACATTTCGCTGGTGATTACAAGCAGCTTCATCGGGCGATTTTTGCGCTCGAGTGAAACGGCCTAGGCCATTACGCCCTTCACGCCACCAAAGCCATCGTGCCCACGTGGAGGAGCCACGGGAGCTGTGGGCACATGCTGTGCAAGTGGCTGGCTAGTGCAGGTGGGAGAGCGGACGTAGTGGTTACTGCACAGGGCTACAAATCCAGCTGCCCGAATTCGATTCCCGGCCGTGGCAATTATTTGAAGCAGTCCTGGGGCCTCCCCTAGGTCATCTTAAATGAGTACCCAGTGCAGTGTGCAAACATTAGCAATGGGATGACATAGGTGGCCGGGGGTGGTGCTCGCCACAACCACTAACACGTGTCCTGTGTCGGCCTTCAAAGGTGCTCGCTAACAACCCTTTGCTCCAACAGCCTGTTTAGGCTATACGGGGCATCTTTGTCTTTGTGTGTGCCACTCACGAAGCAGTCGGTATCCAAGGGGCCGGTACAGCCACTGGCGCAGTACCGGTGGCAACAGTTGTTGGAGTCGGGACCGTTGCAGCGTGAGTCGCACTGCTTGGCGCAATGCAGACTCGTGACTAAAGGCAGACGGACACAGTTAGGGCACCCACAAGACCGCATGCACGCTTAAGTGTGTAAACGCTTGCATATAAAACACAGCGACACCAACTGCAAAGAGGCACAAAATCAAATATTGACGATAATTGATCACGGTGACAATATCAAGTTTCAAGTCTATTTTGTTTAACCAGGTGATAACTCAATAGACCCAGGGGGTAGTCTCATTTACAAGAGGTACCTGGGGCACGAGGCAATGCTTGTGATACTATAGTCCCATTTGAGTAATTTTGTATTACCCCTATGGCTTCCTGTTCAGTTCAGGTTTGATTCTAAGGTCCTGCTCCTGAAATTCGCTCTAAATCAGTGTTTTTTAAGCTTCACCGCAGCCTTGCACCCCATTGGTTCTCAATCGTAAAAAAAAAATGTATAATGTTAATCAATGCATTGGTTTGACGAAACTAATTAGTTGTACTTATGTGCCTTGCTTACTTTGTGTTTCGATGATTTACCGTCCAATAAAATCTTGGAATGTCTCACCCCCTCAGAAAGGGAAATCTCGCACCCCCAGGGGGTGCTTTCACCCCAGGTTAAGAAGAACGACTGCTTTAAATGACCGTGGTCCCTCTATACCGAGAAGAACGTTTGACCCCATATGTAACGAGTCGGTCTCTTGGGTTACACGATCCAGACTTGTAAAATAATCCAATCGTGCTGAGAAAATGCACGTGGCAGAGCATTCGCCTGGAGCGCTCCTAAACTGTGGAATGAGCGGCCGCGATGAGCAGGGAGGTTACGTCTGTTATTCTTATATTAATATGAGACTTAAAATAGATTGTTTTTTTTTCATATAGCGTTCACACCCTGATATTGTATTAGCTTAAACTGCTTTTAATATTAAGTATATATAGTAGAATTCCTCTTAACGACCACCCCTGTTCATCATTAATCGCTTAACGACGGGCCTCCATAGAGCCCCATGTGTAGTGTATAGTAGTGTAGTGTATATTAGTGTATAGTGTAGTGTAGTGGATAGTAGTGTAGTGGATAGTAGTGTAGTGGATAGTAGTGTAGTGGATAGTAGTATAGTGTAAAGTAGTGTAGTGGATAGTAGTGTAGTGTATAGTAGTGTAGTGTATAGTGCAGTGGATAATAGTAGTGTAGTGTATAGTAGTGTAGTGTATAGTGTAGTGTATAGTAGTGTAGTGTATAGTGTAGTGTATAGTAGTGTAGTGTATAGTGTAGTGTATAGTAGTGTAGTGTATAGTGTAGTGTATAGTAGTGTATAGTGTAGTGTATAGTAGTATAGTGTATAGTAGTGCAGTGGATAATAGTAGTGTAGTGTATAGTAGTGTAGTGTATATTAGTGTAGTGTATAGTGTAGTGTATAGTGTAGTGTATAGTAGTGTTGTGTATAGTGTAGTGTATAGTGTGGTGTATAGTAGTGTAGTGTATAGTGTAGTGTATAGTAGTGTAGTGTATAAGTGTAGTGCCTCCGTAGAGCCCCATGTGTTCGCTTACCGACCATCCCCCTGTTAACGACGGGCTTTTGTTGGTACAGTAAATATTAATTAATGCATTGATTAACCGTGCTTCTTTTAATATTCTGTGTGTATAATGTTGTTAGTATCTTTATGTATTAATATCCAATGATTAAATATTATAAAGTACGTTTTTGGGTGAAGAAAGGGGTAACTTTCGATGCTATCAGAACGAATTAAACCTTTAACATGTATTTCCTATACTCGCTTAACGACCAAATCACTTAACGACCGGTTTCATGAAACCAATCACCGTCATTAAGAGGGGTTCTACTTTTTTATATATTTCTGCTTCCTAGAATGGTTTTATACTTACTGATTGTAATTAATCTCTCCGGATGCAACCATTTACAAAGATTGATACCTTTATTATTTGTAACATTCATTTCTTTCACTTTTTTTTTAGTAGATTAAAATAAAATGAATAAAGAAATGTAAATGTTTTCTGTAGACGAACCGTTGAACTCGAGTGCTGAATAGGCAAAAAATCAGAGGGTTTTTACCGTGATGGGTAAGGATGGGCTGGGTGGTATGAGGACGTTCGACTTACACTTCTGGCAGTAATTTGCACCTTCATCCCAGCAGTGGCCATTGCAGGACGGATGGCAGGGCTTGCCTGCCAGAACAGAGCGGCAAAGCCCATTTAGCAGAACAACAGAACGCGATGCGAGCTTCCCACAAACACAACCGTTACAGCGCCCGCCTCCCGCACTCGACGTTTGAGCGCGAGAGGTCCAAGCTAACTGCCACTGTTCCACTACACAATTGAAACGGCACATTTTTAACATCTGAATAGTGAATATCGCAATCATTTTCGTTTGGCTTAAGGGCTCAGAGCTCTTGTCTTCGATAGCCTCTCCGCTTGACTGCCAGGACTAAGTTTCAAACTGAACCCTGGTTGAACTGGAGGACTATTCACGCTGTTACATTGGTTCTTTTCCCAAGGATCACCAGCCTGCCCGAACATAAATTGTCTTAAATAATCCTTCTGCATAGGTTTTAGTGGTTGTGCTGTGCACCTTCTCAAGTGTGTTCCCAGGTTGCACCACGAGTTGTTTAGCACGGTGTGCTGCTGGGAGTTTTTTTTATGGAAACCGAAAAGACATCGGAGAGCTAAGAAATATGTTACATTATTGCTGTTTGATGTTCACCTCCATGGGGATGCTAAAAAATTCTGATAGATTTATTTTTTAATTATGGTCATGCAAATTACTCTATTATCACGAATATTATTTGTACGCACATTCAATGTCATTTACACCTTTAACTCAATACTGATGCACATTACGCCACTCACATGTTGATTTGAAGAAGTCCAGCTTGTTGGTCACATTTTGAGGGGACTGCTTGTTCTCGAGGTCAGCCCAGTTTATGGTATCAGCGAAGCAGAGGTACTCATTGGAATCGAAGTAGACAGCTCCTTTAATGATTTCTGCACGAGACACAACAAATGGATCCACTCTGAATTGATAAATGGTCGAATTTTATGTCGTGGTATAATGGTTAGCACACTGGAATTGCTATCAAAATTTTCACCAGTTCAATCTCCTGGGGGACCCGTTGAAGCAATGGTACAAGTTTATTAAACACCTCCACCTCTGTCCATCCAGCAGTATAAATGGGTATACCACAGTTTGTCGACTGACAGGTTGCGTGTGCCGGGGTAAATTATGGATATCCCATGCCTCTTCAGAGATGTTTGGCCAGGATTTCAGAGTAAGCAGAAATACCATCCACAAGTGCTCTCTAGAGCTCCCTCTTGGGGGAGGCCATTTAAGCAGTGGGGTGAGCGAGTGATTGGGGCCGCACTCCCATGAGCGACAAATGGATGTGCGTACCCAAGAGGCCCATCAGGTGGAGCCGTCGGATACCCTGCTGCGACTCAGGCTGCTCCTTGTTGTAGTTGAGCAGCACGCTGAGCGCGTACTTATTGTCGTAGAGCGTGTTGCCGCGGATGAGACGCAGGTTCTCCAGGGGCACGTAGTCCACCTCGTTGAGGGCGATCAGCACGTACCCAGACACCTCCCGGATCGACTGGCAAACAGCACGGAGGCGAGCGGGATGGGAGAGTGAATGAGGAGTTTAGGTGAAATGTAAACTAAGCATTTTTTTTTACTTTACTAGGTAATGCCCACTGAGCTATAAAGCTCTTTTTCAGAAGCGACCTGTCCACAAATGATAGCTCAACGAGGTGGCTGATCATGTGGAAATTTCTAGCAGCCAAATACTCCAAATGCCAGTTTAAAAAACTGTAAAGGTGCAGCCCAGCAATTGCTTGCTCAGAGCGCTGCTAGGGGAAGGGCTCCACTGAAGGGATCTCTAAGAGTGCTTCCATTAGACGGGAGCTCAGATGGATGTACAAAATAAATGTTAAGGGACCACCTTGGCAGTTTCTTAACAAGCATCACTATCATCAGGCACGGTCCATCCATGGTCCTGCAATATTGTTGCTCTATCTCTTTGGGCATAGTCCTCTTGGGCTCATTCCCTCCTTATTTTTACTACTGTGGCACTGAGCAAGGGGCATGTGCTTATTTAAGGAATGCATTGGTAGCACCAGATTTATTAGTACCCATTTATTTAAGCAGCGAATAAGCGCGAACTCCTTGATAAGCCGCAAATTGCAAACGGTTATGGCAAAATTCACCATTATGGCCTCGCAAAGGTATCGGAAGCACTGAAGCAATGCCACCTCAGGTGGGCGCCGACAAGTGAGATTATGCGGTTGAGTCTCATGAACTATCGGCACAGCGTCGTCACACACCCGCAGGAAAGAGAGGTCGCTCCCATTGAGGATGTTGGTGATCTCCAGGTTCCCCATGACGATCTCACAGTTGGTGTACATTTCGCGCAGGATCTCGTACTGCTTCTCTTTGTTACTCAGCAGATTTAACTTGTTCGTTGTTCCAGCACAGTCTGCAAATATAGCGCACGGCGGCATGACATTAAAATACAAACAGCCCATTCTGTAAATATTTGATATTGTATTCTTGAACGATTTTGGGGAATGGTCCGGAATGGTGTTGAACAAAAATTGTTGCCTGTTAAACTTTAGAGCGGTATTCCCATATGAAAAATAATAGGTCTTACCCTTTCTGGTAATAAAACAGGTGTTAAGATGTTTCATACTTTGATACTGGCAAAAAAAGGTCCCATTTTGGTATTCCCATAATTTGAGATGCTGCTTGCAAACAAAATATTTTTTGTTGTGCCTGATAAAAGATGTTGGGAAAAATTACCCCTGTGGAAATGCTGGCTTGAGTCCAGTTTGACATCCTTGGCTAGTCCTCCATATAATTTATAATTTGATGGTAAGATGTATATTCTGGATAACTTCCCTTGTAATTCTATTTGAGAATATCCTTGTCTGTTTACACACGAGTGCCATAATCACAATCATTCTACTTTAATCTTTGTCTTAACTTAATTGTACTCGGAACGGTTTTAAAAAAGTCATTTTTACCAAGCCAACTTGCATGACAGGAAATTTATTTCAATTAATACTTAATTATGTTTGTGCAGTATTTTCAATTTCCTATGTAATGTAGCTGTTGCCGTTTTTGCTCTGATTTCTAAACCTTTTTAGCTATGTATTATATTTCCTTCGTTATTGTACCTTATTTTATCTTATTGCATCTGCCATGATGGTGACCCATGTCACTCTTGCAAAGGAGACTCCTATCCTGCCTCTCCTGAACTCTCAGCCGGTCGAACAGAATAATCTTCAAAACGTTCAACTTGAGCTACAAATAAAAAAGAAAAGCAATAACGCGTGTCGAAAAAAACACCACCCACGAAATACTGACCTTAACTTCGTATACTAGAGCTAGAGTCTGTGACCAGGGAAAGGGAGGTCTGGACTGCCCTGCTTAACATGCTGCCGCCGCGTCCCCATGTTGGGACAAGTGGATTGAGAAACCAACGAACGAACGAACTTCGTACACCGCAGTACGTCAATCTCAATTCAGACAGGAACGCTCGTTTGTCAACAGTGACAACCGCGAAATATTCTAGTTGTGTGTTGTTACCAAGAGCACGGCCCAAGAGTAGACTGCACGCATTGCTTGTAGAAACAATACAACTATACCAGCACGAGGCATGTCCTTTAGAAGAGAAAAAAATACACTTTTGTGAATGTCACATTTTCTTTCGGCATTGCTCTTGACGACATGTTTGGTCAAAATGGAATCATTCGTGTTCTCAGCTTAAGCCTCATCACTTGGGACACACCCAAAAAGGGCAGCCACCTTAAGAACGAGGAAATATGTTTCACAATGGTCAACGCATTCCATAAGTACACACTCAAAGCCACTTCTTTAAAAGGCTACAAATGCATGCATGGACATGATATAGGGGGCTCTTAGAAAACACAATGCACAATCGCAAAAATAAAATAAAAATTGTAAACAACACAATGTACATTTTGATGACAATTACAGAAGCCACAAGGCTCTCCTGCCATGATTGCTTTCAGTTAACAGCGAGATTCAAGGAATAAAGCACTTCACACGTTTTGTTTGAACACCTTCAGATTTCATTTTTGCGTGTGTTTACTTTGTTCGAGAATAGATTTTGAAGACACAGCTGCACCTGTATTCACTGTGGACAATCATCTCTGCCTCAGGCACTGAGTGAAAGGTAAACAAAGCTCCTCAATCACGATAGCTATCAAGGCTGCGATATTGTCTCTGTAAATATTGCAGCGTGCTCCTGACGAGGTGAAAACACGGTGGGTGGACATCTCTTGCACCTCCCCGCGGCATGGAGTGCGATGATTTGGTGAATAGTCATGATTCAGCGTGATGCTTCCATGAAAGCATTTTTTATTGTTTTGTTGTTGTTTTTTTTCTGTCAGGCTTGTGGGATTTTTATTTTCTCCATTTGCCCAAATGCAACATTAGCATAGCATTTGTGTATTTAAAAAAATACAGACCAATCCACCGCTATGTTAGGTATTGGGTGTTGTTTGACCATACTTCACAGGCACTAATCAGTACGGGTTGGTGAAGGATATCACTATCGACTTATGTTAGCCATGGCTAGGAATCAAACTCATGTCACTGGATTCAGAGCGTTGTGCATGAATCAGTGCACCAACTGGTGCCGTACATTTGCATATAATTTTTAAAAAAATCATAAATGAATCCTGAACGATTATATGAAGTCAATTATCGCAGGACAGATGTATCGTGAACATGAAAATACATTTTAACCGATGCATCATTCCATGTACATTGCTCAGTGAAGATTTGAGTTGGTCTGGGACACGCACGAATGGGGGGGAAATGTGGTATGGGGTGGGGGTGCGACTGAAATGGTTGGCATATTGCAAGGTGGCAGTTCCACACTGTGCTCTCCCCACACTGCTCACTGTGATTGTCACTAATTCGGCCACGCCACTTAAAACACTAACATGACATATGCTGCACAAATGAAGCACCTAAAAGCCGGACGTCCCATTGTAAAAATAAACAATCGCAGCGAGGGACACCTTTTTATCTTTATTATCTGTTATTTATATTGTGAATGAGATGTGTTTGCGGCTAATAATGCACAATTCTGTGCATCCCGCATGTAATATAAGCTGCCCATAAATTGCTCATTAATGTGTGTAACTGGCCTTTTACCACCTGCTTTTGAAGGGGCCATCTGCTGTCTCACTGCAATTAAGTTGCATTCCCTGTCCAAATATTGGAATACAATATTTGCACGAGAGTCATGTTGATGGACGCTGGAAGGTCCCCGCAGCCTTTATGTGGCTAGGATGGCGTGTTTTTGTTTTTATTCAAATGGATGTCTTGCACAAAACACACTTGGTGTACACCCCTTCTGTCTTAGAGGACAACTTGGAATGTCACGCTGAGCCATCATTGGCCTCTTTAATTCGCGTTATTCAGAATTGTTGGGGGGGGGGGGAAATGTACACAAACATTTATCGAACAATCGCGAGCACGCGTACACACGTACAGCAGGGCAGACCAAATGTTATTGGCTGCGAAAGGATAACGAGCATCTCTCAAGGGTATACAGACTACTCCCAAGTAGCGGCATGTTAGATTATCTTTCGCCGCACAGTAACGCCCAACCACCCTTGCTGCCCTTCCACTTCGGTCACGTGCCTCATTTCCCTGGCAGTGTGGGGGACTGCTGTGCTGGCTCAGTTCTCCCACCGAAGCTGAACTCGATAGCACACGTTCCTATGCCAGCCCAGCCTGACCCAGCCGAGCCCATGGATGTCGCAGATCTGAGCCCCTCGCTGTCACTTTTCGACCCAAGTAAAAGAAGCAGTCGTGACGTTACGGGCTGAACGCAGACGTGAGACGAGCACACAGTGACACTCGGTTCGCTGAGCTGGGTCAAGGTCAGAACCAGTGGTCACATTACAGCAGCAGTGCAGAAGTCTAACATAGCCTATACGGATAAGAGAGATTTTGATTTTATCAGGCCACTTATATGCCTTAGCAACTCAAAGTAACTTATATCACATCTCATCTTAACGATTTAATTTCCCTTCGAGAGTCTTGCCAAGAGGACCCCTGGTGGAAGCCGTGTGGCATAAGGTGAACGCAGCACCATCCTATGCCTGCATTAAGGGGCCGTCCATAAATGACGTCACGCGATTTTGGACGATTTTTGACCCCCCCCCCTCGTCACACGGCGTCACAAAAAGTCAGACCCCCCCCTCAAATATGACGTCACAAAGCTCTGCCCCCTCCCCCCAAAAAATAACATGCTTCAAATCACTTTAAACTATTGTCATTGTAGTGCGTATTTAATATGGCGCTGCACTCTGATGTTGTAGGAGAAAACATTTATTAAAAAGTATATTTAATTAAGTAGAACGTGTTGTCTATATTAAAAAAAGTCTGACCCCCCCTAGGTACGTGACGTCATTTATGGACGGCCCCTAAGTGATCATTTTCACTCGTTTAAAGATTGCCTCCTAACCTTTCCCGTGCACGGGGAGAGGGGACTATGAGGGGAGAGGGGAGAGCATAAGGGGAAGGGCCGAGCTCACAGAGGCTCATGACACATTGATCGTGGTGATATGTGCCTGGCTTGTCGTGGCTGTAGTTGATCAACTTAACAATCAACTCCGGGGCAGGCACAGCCTGGTTCTCGATGGTCATGGAAACTCATCAACAGAAAGCTGAGCGTTTCATTTTCCACAATTCCAAACAGCGCAGACCTTTACAGCCACATTTTATGACGCATTGTACTTTTAATTTAACTGAGTAAATGTATAACCGACTCGGAGAACTGAGTAAACAGTGGAGATATTTTGTACAGCGTCCCACTCTGTGCCGTCTGGAAATATTCACGGAATTTAAATGCACATTAAACCAGGTGAGGTTGGCACAATGCTTTCTCCTGCCCACTATTTATAATACTTCAATAATGAAGAAAATACACGTATAAAGCCAGCAACAAGTGTAGGATACGTTCTGTGCAAGCATACATACACTTTCACAACACAAACACAATCTCCCAGCACGCAAGAGGGCATATGGCAAATACTGAGCACTTCTGAAACCCAACGGGAGAGTATTTGTAAACCTCAGGTACAGACATTGTTAATTGACTTATGTATACAAGCCAGGGTGGAAGAGTGGTGGCAGTGGTTATCATACTGTGTTATCAACCCAGGCGACCGGAGTTCGATTCATGGGCACGATCAACATTAAAATAACATGAACCTTATGGCGGGACCCCGGGGTACCGAATAAACGGAAGTCAAAATCGTAATTCATGAATACATTTTTGGCGACTCCGTCCCACCCCACACATAAACGCCGCGACCCACCTGGCGCTAATCATTCTGTTGTCGTGTCGTCCAAGCGCAGCGAGGACGAATGCGCAGAATAAAGAAAACTTTGAAACTTTGATTAGTGCATCGTGTAGAGCTTGTCGAGAGA